AATGAGGCAGTTGAGGCTCAGAGAGGCTAAGTAACTTGGCCAAGGTCACATAGCTGGCTGGTGGCAGAGCCAGGAGTAACCCTGGGTCTTTGGACACCACAGCCCGTGCTCAGAGCCAGTCAGCTTCGTGACCGTGGCCCCTGTGATGACCCAACCCTGAGGAAGCTGCAGCCTTGCCCCATAGCCCCGCCCAGGCACCCTCCCCAGCCTGCAGCATGACGGTCGTACAGAGCTGTCTCATGAGGGCCCCTTATTTTTTGGACAAGCCATAGGGAGGAATGTGACTACTCACCTGCAAGGGACCCCACCTTCCTCCTGGAGCCACCTGGAGTCATCATACCAGGCAGCTCATCCCTGCCTGGTGACCCAATGTACACAGAGGGTGGAGCCTGGTCCTAAGTCACACAGCATGGGAGTGACACAGCCAGAACCAGAACGCATGTCAGCCCTTCCCTGCCCTGCCCTGCCCTGCCCTGCCCTGCCCTGCCCTGCCATACAAGAAAGGTGGCCTGTCTGTATGTTGTCAGAGAACCCCAAAGCATTGCAGCGATTCCAGCTCCCACATCTACAGCTTGTTCATCTCTATGATTCCATCCCCACCACTGCAACCCCAGGATCCTAGGGCGAGGTCTGGAACAAGGTTGGACAAATATGTGAAGGAATTCTTCAGCTCCTCTGACAGTGGGTTATCAGAGCATTGAATCTGGACTCATAAAATAAGGATGTTCAGTGTGTCTAAGTTCTGTGACACCTTGAGGTCCCTCATGAATGGGAGGCTCCGCAGTGAGAATCAGGCTTCTTTGAATTCGGGTTGTCACACGTACCAGCTGTGGGACACCAGACAAGTTGCTTAAGCTCTCTGAGCCTGTTACCTCATCTGTAAGCTGATTCTTTCCTGGAGGAGGGCGAAGGTGATACAACTGAAGGAATAAAACCTCCCGTACAGGTCGTAGGATGCATGAACTCAGAGGTAAAAGCAGCTGCAGGTAAGGATGAAATCACAGCAACCCTAAAACACACCAGGACCTTTTCTGTACAGATATTGTGCAGGCTTGTTCTGAAGCCAGACCACCTGGGTTCAAGGCCTGGCTCAGTCACTCGCTAGCTGTGTGACCTAAGGCACATCCGTTGAACGCTCTGGTCCTCAGTTTCCTTACCTGTAAAACGGAGGTGATGATATGAGCTACGTCATGGGGTTGTGACGAGAATGAAATGAGCCTCTCCATGTAAAGTGATTAGTGAAGTGCAGGACCTGTCAGCTGTCAGCGACATCATAACGCTAAGAAGAGACAGATCCAGAGAGAAGCGGCTCAGCCACAGTGACGCTGCTGAACTCCACACTTCGTCCACCGTCACACATAAACCCACCAGCTGTGGTTTGAGACCAGCCATCTGCGGAGAGTGAGCCAGGCTGAGCATGGGCTCCCGAGACAGCTGGCATGTTGGGGTTCCCATTCCTGAGCCAGGCCGAGCATGGGCTCCCAAGACAGCTGGCATGTTGGGGTTCCCATCCCTGAGCCAGGCCGAGCATGGGCTCCCAAGACAGCTGGCATGTTGGGGTTCCCATCCCTGAGCCAGGCCAGGCCTGGGGATCTGTTATCAGCACCACAGTCAGTGCCTCAAAAGGGGTGTGCTCCTACTGGTCCGTACTGGCTGCAGCTGCTTTTGCCCATGCTGGGTAGCAAGCAGAGGGAGGCCTGGGAAGAGAGTGGGGGTGGGGAGAGGAAGGGGAGCACACAGCGAGGCAGCGGCTGCTCAGGAGGGCATCCCCACGACCGCAGCTGCACCCAGGTATGGGCCCCATCCTGTTAGAGGTTCAGCCTCCAAGAGGGCCCCCCCCAATACCCTGCTCTGGATGGCCAAGTCCCTTGCCTAAAATCATCTAGAACCTCATGACCAGTTCTAGATGCCAGGGGTTGTTGGTTTACACCAAGCCATGAATCCGTTCAGCAGAGAAGAATAGTGACGTCCACAGTCAGCCTTCCCCAGGACAGAATCCAATTCTGGTTAAGAGTTTGGGAACGGGTTTCTGAGCCCCTCTGAAATTACGATCACTTTTGAAGGCTTGGAGCAAACTTCTGCAAGGGGTTTCTGTCATACGGTTCAAAGAATGAGGATTTTGATCCCAGATGCACCTGCCTCTATCACTTACTGTTTGTGTGCCCTTGGACCAATAACCACCTCAGTCTCCTCATCTGTCAAATGGGCATAATAACAGTTCCTCCTCATATCTGTGCTAAGTGAGATAGAGCATGCAAAGCCCTTCCTCCCAGAAAATTCTCTTCCCTGAAAGAATGGGCAGCAGATCAGTAATTCTTCAGGCATCTGTGTGTGGGCTGGGAGCACTTCTTCTAGTGTCAGGCTTGAAGTGGGGGCCCGCTGGCCGTCACTTGCTACTGGTGCTCAGCAGCAAGACGAGAGCGATTTCCTGGGAAGCTAAAGCGTCACTGGAGCTTTGCCAGATGAGTAGGTCTGTCCTGTTTTGGCATGGCTTCAGCATCCAGCAGGTACCGGGTTCTGTGTGACCCTCCCTGTCACTAAAGCTGTGACAGCTGAAGTGATCTTTGCACCGTGGAGCAGGCAGGCCATGGAGGATGGAGGGAGCAGGTCAGGCACTCAACAGGTGCCCTGGGAGTCAGAGCTAAATTCAAGTGCTGACTCCACTATGTGACGTTGGGCAAGACTTATTCTCCCTGAGCCTGCTTCCTCTTTTGGAAAACAGTGTGACTCATGGCCCTGGAAAAGTTCATCGGAGTCTGCGACCAGCTTGACAGAGGACCCAGCATTTTCCTCCCATCCCAGAGGACAGGGGGCCCTTTCCCACCCAGCTCTGGGTACCAGGGCCACTGGACCACTGAGGATGGAAGCCCTTGACACCTTAAGGTCCCTCATGAATGGGAGGCTCTGGAGAGGCCCCCTGGGTGGCAGGCTGAGCACCTGGGTAGTGGCAGAGCTCTGGAGGGGCCCCCTGGGTGGCAGGCTGAGCACCAGGACAATGTCTTGAGTGTGTGAGCTGAGGGTGAACTTGGGCACCATAGCCTGAGCCTGCATCCCTGCCCCAGCTAGCTCCTTCTCCCTCAACAGAGGGTCTTGTAGAAGGCAGGCTGGGTCTCTCCAAGGGCGGGGGCATGAGGATGGGGAGACTGACAAGCTCAGGGTCTTAAAAGGAGAAGCTGGAAGCCTCTGATGGGCCCAGGGTCATCTCAGAGAGGAGGCCAGGGGCAGGAAAAGTCCCTTAAAACCCTGAACTGAGGACTCTGCTCATATTTGTTCCTTGTTAGCTGTGCCTGTGTCCCTTTAGAATAAACAGGGTGGTTGTCCTTATGGGAGGGGGAAGGGGAGCTGGTGCGGTAATGGGGGCAGGGACTCCCGGGAGGACAGGGCAGCTGGCTGGCTAAGGAGGAAAGGAGGGGGCCCCCGTCCAGGTCCCCGGCAGGCACAGGAGGTCAGAATGCCAGTTGGGCCCTGAGAAGTGCTCCACAGCCAAACACTTGCCAGTGACCTGCAGTCCCCTGGGGCCTCTCACGAGCCCCCTGCTCTGGTGCCATGAAGCTGAGCCCATCTGGACCTCTCAGGGGATTCCAGTGCCATGACTGACCGGATGAGTTGCCCGCCCCCCCCAGCTCTGGGTACCACCCAGGCTCATGAGGGGGAAGGGAATAGGGATGCACCCATCACCCGTTGGCAAGCTTCCTGGCCTGGGCAGGCGGCAGAAGGGCTGGCCACCCTCTAACTGTCATTCCAAAGACAGTGTGCTTAGCTCTGGGGAGAATTATCCAGCAGGGACCTCAAAGAGACAGGGAAAGAATCTCACCTGAGAGTAATGTGCCTGATGATTTTGTCTATCGACTTGGCCAGGCTCCAGCCCCATTTAGGCAATCAAACTCTAACCCAGGTGTCTTGCTGTGACGGTGTTTTGTAGCTGTGGTTAACATCTACCATCAGCTGACTTTAAGGGAAGGAATTACCCTTGATGTGGGTGAGCCTGAGCCAGGCAGCTGAAGGCCTTCAGAGCAAAACTGAGGTTTCTTTGAAAAAGAAAAGAAATTCTGCCGACGGTGAAGCAACAGCTCCTGCCCTAGCGTTTCCAGCTTGCAGGCCACCCCTCGCCCCTGCAGATTTCATACCTACCCAGCCAGACCCCACAATTGTGTGAGCCAATTCCTTGAAATTAATCTGTTCTTCTGATAGGACCCTGCTGACACCAGGAAGAAGCAGACGTCCATACCTCTCGCATGCATTCCTTCTCTGGGTGCTGACCTGGAGCCTGTGTTGTCCCAGACTCTGTGCTCGACCCTAGGACTGTCACAGACACCTTGCAGAGCTGTGGGAAACACTGGTGTTGAAAATCTGCCTGTAAATGGGGATTCATGCATTCGTGGTGTACTATAACTTGGATTATAGTACACTGATTCATGGGAGCTGATCATGAACTGTTCTTCCTGACTCCACGTTCAATGATGTCCTATCGGCAGCTTGAAATCAGCTGTGGTGGGAGTAGTTACACCATGGAAATTGGCAAACAGCAAATCAGTGCTTTGCCCCACAATGGCAGCACACCATTGGCTATGAGAATATAGCAAGGAATCTACTCAGACTGGGGGAGCCAGAGAAGGGCTTCTGAGTGAGGCCCAAAGGCTAACCGGGACCAGGCACAGTGGCTCATGCCTGTAATCCCAGCATTTTGGGAAGACAAGGTGAGGGAATTGCATAAGGCCAGGAGTTCAAGACCAGCTTGGGAAACAGCGAGAGGTCTCTATTTAAAAAACAAAAATAAACGTTAGCTGGGTGTGGTGAATTGTATTTGTAGTCCCAGCTACTCGGGAGGCTGAGGTGGGAGGATTGCTTGAGCCCAGGAGTGCCAGGCTGCAGTGGGCCGTGATTGGGCCACTGTACTCCAGCCTAGGTGACAGAGTGAGACCCTGCCTCAAGAAAAAGCACAGAATAACCAGGCCTTAGGTAGATGGGGAGAAAAGGGAAAGGCAGCCAGGCAGAGAGAACAGCGTGTGGGGAGGCCCAAAGGAGAAAAGGGGCCCTGTTGTTTTGCCACCATCTCACTTGTCTGGGTTTCTCATCCAATCAGGGGCTCTTGAAGGGGAACATGTGTCTTGTTCATCTCTGTCTGCTGTGCCCAGCACCCAACTGGGGCCTCATGGAGGGGGACAGTATCTTTCTGTCTGCTGAGTGCAGCATCTGGCTGGGGGCTCGTGGAGGGGATCTCTGTGTCTGCTGTGCCCAGCACAGTCACTCTGTGAGCTCTGTGACCTCGGGCTCATCACAGGTGAGTTTTCTTATCTGGAAAGTGGAGAGAGTAGGAGAAGGGAAGGAAGGGAAGGGAGTCCTGGAAGGTCAAGGTAGGGAGTGCAGATTCTTTTCTAAGTTCAGGAGGAAGCTGGAAGGCAAAGACAGGAGTGGATTACTATTCTATAACATCAGGCTGCTGTGAGGGGAGTGGCAGCACGATGGCAGCTAAGACGTGGGTACAGTGTCCCAGGTGGGAGGAGAGGGTGTCCTGGGCCAGACTGCCGGTGACAGGAGTGAACAGAAGTGGGTGAATTAGAGGTAAAACTCGTGGGGTTTGCAGATGAGGAAGAGGGCAGTGGAGGATGACACCCATGTTTCTGGTATAAGAAATTGAAGCATATTGACAGATGGGGAGGAAGCTGGGGGATAGGTGTCAGAGGATAGCTCTGAATGGGATATGAAAGTCTAAATGCACTTCTGCTTGTCTCTACCAGACATCCTTGAGCTACTGATCACTGGATTAGGATCAGGAACAACTAACCTACCTCTTTCCTCTGGCCTCTAACATGGAGATCACCTCATAGCCCAAGATAACTGCTGGAGCACCAACCATCATATCTTCATCCCAGGTGGAATGCAGGAGAAAGAAGAAATGGGTAAAAAGAGCTTTCATCAGTCGTGTCCTCATTGAGCTTTTCACAAGGCACCCTCATCAATGTCTCCCATGTCTCATTGATTAGAACACAGTCACATGCCACATCTGGCTGCAGGGGAGACTGGGAAATAGAGTCTTCGGCCAGACACACTTTTGCCCAGAATAAAAGCAAGGTTTCACTGGAAGGGAAGGAGGGAGAAACAGCATGGCGGCCGCAGTCTCTGGTACAGCGTCTCTTACTGTTCTCTTCTCCACTTCCCAATCTCCCACACCCCTCTGTGTTGTATACAACGAAATTCAGAGTCCTTGATATGACCTTCAGGCCCTTGGCTCTGACCTCCACTGCCCGAGCCAACATCCCCCAGGCTTCCCTCTCCTTTATGCTTGTATTCAGCCCAGACATGATTCCCCCTGGGTGAAAGCCGCATAGAGTCACTCCGCGTCTCCTCTGCCAAGACGTTCGGAAGGAATAGTTGCTGTGGTGCTTTCCAGAGCCGTGCGTGATCCTGGGAGTTACTAGCAACACTTAGAAACCAGTTTTGTTCATTGCAGTGCAGTTGCCACCAAGGGCCTCCTCCTGCAGAGCCAGGCAGCGCCGAGTGGTTGTGGCAGGCCTCGCTAAGCCACGATCCCTGGCAGGGAGGAGCTGCTGGCTGCACGGTCCCGGGTCAGAGAACCGAGTGAGTACATGTTGGTGGCAGATAGTCCTAGGAAGCAAATGAAAAGGAATGTGTTGAGGTTTTTTTGTTTGTTTGTTTTGTTTTTATTTATTTTGAGACAGGGTCTCACTGTTTCGCTCAGGCTGGGTAGGGTGTTGGCTCACTGCAGCCTCCACTTCCTGGGCTCAGGCAATTCTCCCACCTCAGCCTCCCAAGTAACTGGGACCACAGGTGCATGCCACCATGTCTAACTTATTTGTTGATGTGTTTCTTTATTTAAGAAATGGGGTCTCACTTTGTTGCCCGGGCTCATCTTGAACTCCTGGGCTCAAGCGATCCTCCAGCCTCAGCCTCCTAAAGTGCTGGGATTGCAGATGTTAGCCACCACACCTGGCCGAAAAGGAATGTTGTGAAGGTTGATATAACCAAGGCAGGCCATAGGAACAGGGAGGTCGGGCACAGGCAGAGAGCCCTGGGGAGCCAGCTGGGGCTTGCTTAGCTGTCCTCAGGCCCTCATCCCCATTTCATGGGTGGGGATGATGCAGTCCAGAGAGAATCAGAGGGAGGGGACTGATGACCAAGTGCCCCTGTCTACCGGACACTGTGAGCAGAGGCTTCTAGGCCCATGGAGCTCTAGGAGGTTAGGTGATTATTCCATTTTATGAATGGAGAAACTGAGGCTCAGAAAAAAAATTAAACCTGTGTGAGGCCACAGGGCTGACTCCTCTTTTTTCCAACACTTCATTTCCTATTGTCTCATTGCCTCTTATTTTTGTCCACGTGTCCTTCCTTCCTCTTCCCACCCCCACCACCTCTCTCCTCTCTCCTCTCCCTCTCTCTCTCTCTCTCTCTCTCTCTCTCTCTCTCTCTCTCTAATTACATGGTGTAAAATGCAGTTGAATCAAATGTGTTCACTCTTGTGACCACCACTCCAATCTAGACATAGAGCATTCCCACGCCCAGAGCGCTCCCTCACACCGCGTCGCAGCCGACCCTCCGAAAGCGGAGGTCCTGTTTGGATTCCTAACCTCACGGATTTGTTTTTGGCCGTTTCTGGGTTTTTGCTGTTTGTTTGTTTGTTTTGAGACAGAGTCTCACTCTGTTGCCCAGACTGGAATGCAATGGCTTGATCTCGGCTCACTGCAACTTTTGCCTCCAGGGTTCAAGAGATTCTCCTGCCTCAGCCTCCTGTGTAGCTGGGATTACAGGTGCCTGCTGCCAGGCCTGACTAATCTTTGTATTTTTAGTAGAGATGGGGTTTCGTCATGTTGGCCAGGGTAGTCTCAAACCCCTGAACTCAAGTGACTCGTGCACCTCAGCCTCCAAAGTGCTGAGATTACAGGCGTGAGCCACCGCACCAGGCCTGGTTCTGAACATATATGTGGATTCAGGCTGGCTCTTTTTTTTGTTTGTTTAACTACAAAATGGGTGGAGAACAGAGGCGCATAGAGGCAGTGGGCTAGGCAGGTCTCCTGGCTATAGGACAGCATTTCTGTGCCGTGTCCCCTGTCCTCGTGGCACTCTGGCTCACCAGCCCTGCCTCCTACCTCTGTGCAGGTCACTGACACACTTTCTCTCTGCAAAGCCTTCCCGGGCCCACAGGCTGTGCGCTTCCTTCCCTGGAACTTTCCTTCACAGCCTTCGGCGCGACTGTGATGAAATCACTGTTCATGTGGTTATGTCTTCAACACCTGCGTCCCCACCGCAGGCCGGCTCCCAGGGCCAGGCCTGGTGTGACGTTCGCTTCACATACCCAGGCGTCACTTGCCCCAGTGCTCCTGTGTGCTCAGGAGAGATCTGTTAAGCACAGGATTTGGGGAGAAGTGCGTATGGATATCTGAGCAAGCGTTGTGCTTGTGGGAGAGAGGAAAAGGGACTGTGGTGAAGGGTGTAGGCCAAGGGACACAAAGGAACAAGGGCAGCCACGTGCAGCTGGCCTGGGATGGTCAGGGGCTGAGACCCAGGTTGGGGAGATGGCGCCTGGCCCTAGTCACTTGCTCTGCCTGCACGTGCCCTCACTATCTTGTATGGGTACCTTGGGAGGAAGGGACCTCCATCATCTCCTCTTAGAGAAACTAGAGAGGTGTTTCAGTCCATTCAGGCTGTTAACAGAAGACCACAGACTCAGACAGCAGAAGTTTATGCCTCAGAATTCTGGACCCTGGAAGTCCAAAATCAAGGCGCTGGCAATTTTGGTGTCTACTGAGGCCCCAAGTCCTGGTTCACAGAGGGGCCTTCCTGTTGGGTCCTCCTCATCCGGGAGAAGGCGCAAGGGAATGTTTTGGTATCTGTTTTATGACGGCACCAATCCCATTCATGAGGCTTCGCCTCTTATGACCAAATGACCTCCCAAAGGCCCCACCTCCTAACACCATCATCTTGGGAGTTAAGATTCCAACAAAAGAATTTTGGGGAACACACACATCCACACCATAGCAAGAGGCTATGCAACTTCCCCCAGCCCACACGAGGCAAGCTGCCCCGGCATTTTTCAGTTGAAGCAGTCACAAGCCCGCCTGGTCCAGAGGCAGGGACCCAGAACCCACATCTCACGGCAACAAGTATGGAGGATTCAGGGCCATGCTTTAAAACCACTGGAGCACATCAGAGCAGTGAAAAAATACCTGACATGCATTGAGTGCTTACTCAGAGCCAGGCGCTGTTGGTAACTTGATGTAAAAGATACATTTATAGTTAACATTTACATAAATGGACGTAAAAGCGAGACTGTGCACGTAAATGTCTCAGAGGCTGTGCCTGCTCTACTAGACAGGCTGGTCACAGAGCCATCATGGTTTGGGAGCCCGCTTCATCCCTGCACCCACCCTCCCTGTGCTCGGCCCACCCCTCGAAGCTGGCCGGTTGCTGGCCACTTCCACCCGCATCAGGCCTCAGGGCTGCTCTGTTCCAGATGGCCCCTGAGGGCTGTGAGGCTCCTCTGCCTGCCTCCCCAGTGGCTGCCAGGCCGAGGCCCCCAGCTCAGCCTCAGGAAGCCTGCGAAGGCAGTCAGTGCGTTTCTGCAGCAGGAAATGCGGCCAGTGCAGAAATGTGCAGCCTCAGCACACCCTCGGCGCCCTAAGGTGGGGGAGAAGAGGGACGTGATGATGGTCCCGGCTGCACGGTGACAGCAGATAACCACCGTCGCCCTGGGGAACAGAGGCTCCTTTGTCCTCCACCTGCCGGCACTGGTGACACGGAGTTCCTTCAGCGGCCAGCAGGCCAGAGGGGAACAGTTTCCCTGCTCTGTTGGGGGTGGGGGGGTGAAAGAATGGGAGGGTGGGATGTTAAGGGCCATGTGGAGGTTACTTTATAAGATCCCCATCCACAGACAGTTGAGAGACAAGATAGAGCCATTGGCATCTGGGACAGGAAGGGTTGTGGATGGAGAAGCGCACCTAGGGATACTGGGCGTCCTTCAGTCCAGCCCTCTCCTTCTCCAGATGGGAAAGCCGAAGTCAGGAGACAAAAGGACTCTTACGAGGTCACACACACAAGCCCAGGCTGGCACGCGTTGGTCTGGCCTGCACCCAGGACCCTGCACTGTTTTGAACTGTCTTCCATGTTGCAGGCCCACCAGTTTGAGGCCCAAAGCAGAAAGTGATAGGGTCAGGGGAATGTGGCTGAAAATGCAGAGCATGGAGTAGCTTTTCTGGACTAGCCCCCTGGGTACTTAACGAATTCTAACCACCACCATGCGATGGACAGATGCGCTCTCGCCCAGTTCTACAGAGGCAGAGAGAGGGTAGCTGAGGCCACTCACATGCAGTGTGGGTGTGGCTGGTGTGCGATGTCAGGTGGGGGTTGGGGCCAGCAGAAGGTGGGGCTGGAGGGCCAGGGGAGACCGGAGAGCACCGCGCTTGGAATGCCCAGCCTGGGTGGAACCATGGACGGCTTTGAGCAGAGGAGGCTCAAGGTCAGGCTTGGGAAAGGCTCCTCGGCATCTGGGGGATGAGGTGGCAGGAATAAGCTGAGGACCTGCTAGGAGGCAGGTGTCATGGCCCAGGAGGGCTGCGATGAGGTCTCAGCCAGGCCTGTATGTATGGCAATAGCGATAGGGGACTGACCCCTGGATGACCAGAAGGTGGACATGGCAGCACTTGGTGATTGCTTGTCAAAACAAAGTCCTCACTACAATAGATCTGAATTCAGAACGTTCCAACAGGAGGCCAGACCCCTTCTCCAACACCAGGGCTGCTCCCAATAGGAGTAAAAAACACGGGAAGACCCATCTCCGTGCCCGGATGAAATGAGCTCTGCCAGTCCCCGTGCCTTGGGTTAAGGGACCTTGGTGCCTTGATTAAGGGACAGCTTCGGCCGGGCACGGTGGCTCAAGCCTGTAATCCCAGCACTTTGGGAGGCCGAGGCGGGTGGATCACGAGGTCAAGAGATCGAGACTATCTTGGTCAACATGGTGCAACCCCGTCTCTACTAAAAATACAAAAAATTAGCTGGGCATGGTGGCGCGTGCCTGTAATCCCAGCTACTCAGGAGGCTGAGGCAGGAGAATTGCCTGAACCCAGGAGGCAGAGGTTGCGGTGAGCCGAGATCATGACATTGCACTCCAGCCTGGGTAACAAGAGCAAAACTCCATCTCAAAAAAAGAAAAAAAAAAAAAGGGACAGCTTCTAGGTTTCTAGCAGAAGGCAGTGCCCTCACTGAGAGGGGAGCCCGGGAGGTGGAGGAGGATGGGACCAGCCAGGCTGTGTGTAAGGTGCACGGAGATGTCCAGGAGAAGCCACCGAGGCTCTGGGCATAGCAGAAAGGTCTGGGCCAGCGGGAGACGCCTGGGAGGCCTCAGCCATCCCCGCTCCTCCCCAGCTGAGGATGTTTTCAGGTAGGCTCTGCTTTCCTTGGGCAAGTGGCATGGTGGTCCCTCCAGTTCTGAGAGTGCCCCAAGGCAGCAGTCTTCATGGGGCAGTATGTATTCCGGGCATCTGCACAGACTTTCCAAGTGGCACGTGGGCATGGGGAGTTTAGGGAACTTGATTTTCAGCTCTCCCTGTTGCGTGAGAGGTCAGTGTTTTCTCCTCGGCTCCACATCCATGCCCTGCTTCTCCTACTATGCAGGAGAAACGCCCTGGATTGGAACCCAAGCCACAGGGACTGCAGAGCTCATTTCATCCGGGCACGGAGATGGGTCTTCCCGTCTTTTTTATTCCTACTAGAAGCAGCCCTGGTGTTGGAGAAGGGATCTGGCCTCCTGTTGGAATGTTCTGAATTCAGATCTATTGTAGAATAGGGCAGGAGTGAGGACGTGTTGTTTTGTTTTGTTTTTTGTTTGCTTTGAATGAACACAACTCTTTTGCCTTCTGTTTTCAGAGCAAGAGTCTTGTAAGACCAAAGGCTTCTTCGACTGCCCACACATCTGCCATTCACCTGGAGTTCAAAAGTGGGGGTGATGGTCAAGGAGATGGATATTGTGCCCTTAATTTGAACTGAAAGATGAAGACACCCTTTCCTTTTGGGGAAAAGGTGTCTGATCGGCTTATTGGAGCAACAATGAGGGCTGGCTGGCTTTGCCAACTGCTTATATGGTGGATATTTCCCATAAATCAGATGAATTGAGTCTATAGCTCCAAAGTTTTGTCAAAAATATGGCCGGGCATGGTGCCTCATGCCTGTAATCTCAACACTTTGGGAGGCTGAGGTGGACGGATCAACTGAAGTCAAGAGTTCAAGACCAGCCTGGCATGATGGCACATGCCTATAATCCCAGCTACTCAGGAGGCTGAGGCAGGAGAATCGCCTGAACCCAGGAGGAAGAGGTTACAGCGAGCCAAGATTGCGCCACTGCACTCCAGCCTGGGTGACAAAGCAAGACTCTCTCTCTCTCTCTCTCTCTGTGTGTGTGTGTGTGTGTGTGTGTGTGTGTGTGTGTGTATGAATCATATGACAAGAGCTTTTAACAATAGTTTGGGGGAAAGGTGTATTGAAATTAACAGCATTAAATTTTTCCAATTCTTTCTGCAAATGTCTGGTTAAACAAGGTGCCTTTATTTAAGTGCAAGAGCGACCGGTATAATCACCAGCTCCTGGGTGACTTTTGGAAAACTCTTTTTTGTGCACTGTTATGCTGGACCCCTGTTGACTAGAGCAGGGACGGCACCATGTTCCAGCGGCTGGAGAATGAGGCATGGAGTTGATTGAGGGGACTTACAGACAGGGTGGTCCAGTGGTACTTGGCTGGGCAGGAGAGCCACAGCTGCTGTAAAAAGGATGCAGCTTATGTAGCCTTTTCCCTTGGCACCCTACCTCCCCCCAGCAGCCTCCCGTGGCAACCTTCATCTGACCCAAAACGAAGGGCCTCCATCTCCTGCACAGCCTGAGTTCCATGGGATGAGCTTGGGGCTCAGATGTTCCTCAGGTAAGGACTGAGTCTCTGGGCTGGCCACTCCCAGATTCTTTTTTTTTTTTTTTTGAGACAGAGTTTCGCTCTTGTTACCCAGGCTGGAGTGCAATGGCACGATCTCGGCTCACCGCAGCCTCCGCCTCCTGGGTTCAGGCAATTCTCCTGCCTCAGCCTCCTGAGTAGCTGGAACTACAGTCATGCGCCACCACGCCCAGCTAATTTTTTTTGTATTTTTAGTAGAGACGGGGTTTCACCATGTTGACCAGGATGGTCTCGATCTCTTGACCTCATGATCCACCCGCCTCGGCCCTCAAAGTGCTGGGATTACAGGCTTGAGCCACCGCGCCCGGCCCACTCCCAGATTCTTTAGCTTGGAACTCTGAACACGCATTCTTCTCCATCCTGGGGTCGCTCTCAGGGTGTGCTTTGGTTACACTATTGCTGTCAGGTGTGTCTGCAATATGTGTATTTCCCCAGAAACTGAGAACGTGAAGGACTCTGGAGACTGAGCGACAGGTCCATGCATAAGCCAGGCGTTTCCAACACATTGAAGAAAATCCTAACCAAGTTATCCACTGACTGATCAAAAAAATAATTGAGATCGAACTTGTCCAGTGCCACAACTCATGGGCCACACAGCCCAGGATGGCTTTCAATGCAGCCCAACACAAATTTGCAAACTTTCTTTAAATACGATTTTTTTTGCGATTTTTTTTTTTTTTAGCTCACCAGCTAATGTTAATGTTAGTATATTTTATGACGAACCCAAGACAATTCTTCTTTCAATGTGGCCCAGGAAAGTCAAAAGATTGGACTCCCTGGTTTAGATGAGGGGGCATCATTATGTGACTTTTTGGGCCATGTCTTCTAAGACATTCAGAGAATTAAGTGCCCTCCCTTCCTTCCTTCCTTCCCTCCTTCCTTCTTTCCTTCCTTCCTTCCTTCCCTCCCTCCCTTCTTTCCTTCCCTCCTTCCTTCTTTCCTTCCTTCCTTCCTCCCTCCCTTCCTTCCTTCCCTCCCTCCCTCCCTCCCTTCTTTCCTTCTCTCCTTCCTTCCTCCCTCCTTCCCTCCCTCCCTTCCTTCCTTCCTTCCTTTCTTCCTTCCTTCCCTCCCTCCCTTTCCTCCCTCCCTCCCTCCCTTCTTTCCGTCCCTCCTTCCTTCCTCCCTCCCTCCCTCCTTCCCTCCCTCCCTTCCCTCCCTCCCTTCCCTCCCTCCCTTGTTTCCTTCCCTCCTTCCTCCCTCCCTCCCTCCCCTCCCTCCCTCCCTTCCTTCCTCCCTTCCCTCCCTCCCTTCTTTCCCTCCCTCCCTCCCTCCCTTCCTTCCTTCTTTTGTCTTCCTCTGTCACCCAGGCTAAAGTGCAGTGGCAGGATCTCAGCTCACTGCAAACTTCACCTCCAGGGTTCAAACAATTCTCCTGCCTCAGCCACCCGAGTAGCTGGGATTACAGGTGTGCACCATAAGGCCCAGCTAATTTTTGTATTTTTAGTGGAGATGGGGTTTCACTGTATTGCCCAGGCTGGTCTCGAACTCTTGACCTCAAATGATCCACCCGCCCTCAGCCTCCCAAAGTGCTGGGATTATAGGTGTGAGCCACCGCGCCTGGCCCAACGTAATATATTTTTGATGAGTGCTTTGGTAATGAAAACTCAATCCAAAAGTACGTGTTTAAAGCCCATTGAACCTTGAAGTTACAGGAAATTAATTTCAACTTACATAAGTATCTTTGTTAGAGAAAGTAGCAATTAGATAGCAGTGAAATACTTTTTTTTTTTTTTTTTTGAGACAGTCTCACTCTGTCACCCAGGCTGGAGTTCAGTGGCACAGTCATCACTCACTGCAGCCTCAACCTCCCAGACGTAATCAATCCTCCCACCTCAGCCTCCCAAGTACTGGGACCACAGGCCCGAACCACCATGCCTGGCTAATTTTTGTGTTTCTTTCTAGAGACCAGGTTTTGCCATGCTGCCCAGGGAAGCAAACACTTTTAAACATAAAAATATATACACTATTAGATTAGGATAAAGTTCTGGGGGAAGGGTGGAATGGAAATATACACAGAGAAAAAAGCACAGAGGACAAAGCAAAGCAAACCTGTCAATTGTTAAAGAGCTCATTCTAGGGGTTTTTATTTTTTGTCAGAGTCTTGCTCTTTCGCCAGGCTGGAGTAGAGTGGCATGATCTCGGCTCACTGCAATCTCTACCTCCTGGATTCAAGCAATTCCCCTGTCTCAGCCTCCTGGGTAGCTGGGACTACAGGCTCGCACCACCACACCTGGCTAATGTTTTGTATTTAGTAGAGAGGGAGTTTCACCATGTTGGCCAGGATGGTCTCGATCTCCTGACCTTCTGATCCGCTGGCCTTGGTCTCCCGAAGTGCTGGGATTCCAGGCATGAGCCACTGTGCCTGGCCCATTGTAGAATTTTTAAGTGGAAGAAAGTGGGTATCAAATAGCTACAGAATATAGATTCCACTGATTAAAAGAATAATGTGACACTTTTTTTTTGAGATGGAGTCTCACTATGTTGTCCAAGCTGGGGTGCAGAGGTGAGATCTCAGCTCACTGCGACCTCTGCTTCATGTGCTCAGGAGATTCTCGTGCCTCAGCCTCCCAAGTAGCTGGGACTACAGGCGCGCACCACCATGCCCGACTAATTTTTTGTATTTGAGTAGAGATGGGGTTTTACCATGTTGCCAAGGTGGTGTCGCACTCCTGAGCTCAGGTGATCCACCAGCCTCAGCCTCCCAAAGTGCTGGGATTACAGGCACGAGCCACCACGGTTGGCCACAGCTTTGTTTTAAAATGTCAACATTTAGAATACATTAGAGCTCGGCGTGATTGCTCATGCTTGCAATCCCAGCACTTTGGAAGACTGAGGAGGAGGGATTGCTAGAGGCTAGGAGTTCAAGACCAGTCTGGGCAACAAAGTGAGACCCCATCTATAGAAAAAAATATATTTTTAAAATTAGCCATGTATAGTGGTGTGCACCAATAGTCCCAGCTACTCAGGAGACTGAAGTGGGAGAATTGCTTGAGCCCAGGAGTTTGAGGTTGTAGCAAGCTATGATGGTGACATTGCAATCCAGCCTGGGTGACACAGCAAGTCCCTGTCTTTAAAAAAAGAAAAGAAATTGCATTATCTGCAGCTGTGTAAATACAGGGAAAAATTTTGGAGAGTCAAAAATATACAAGGGAGTACATAGTGGGACTCCTCCTCCCAATTTTATTTATTTTTTTTTTTTGAGGCAGGGTCTTGCTGGAGTGAGGCTGGCATGTGGTGGCATGATTGTAACTCACTGCAGCCCTGAACTTCTCAACTCAGCTGATCCTCACACCTTAGCCTCCTGAGTAGCTGGGACTACAGACATGAGCCACCATGCCTGGCTAACTTTTAAATTTTTTTATAGAGAGAAGATCTCGCTATGTTGCCTGGGCTGATCTTGAACTCCTGGCCTCAAGCAATCCACCAGGCCTAGCCACCAAAAAGGTTTAAGGCTTCTGTGAGTCCAGAAAATGTGAAGATCATGATTCCAAGGATACGGCTTTAAAAGCAAGCCAGAGCAGGAGGAGGTAATTTTCCCAGTCTCTGTAATTTAGGACTGTAATTTGCACTTGTTAGTTTTAAGGCACGTGGAAGTGATGTTTGCTGTTGGTTGAGGGTCTGCCAAGAGGACATCCCCTAAGTGCAGTTTAGAGGTCAAGGTCAGTCCTGTCTGGCCAGGCCAGGCTCTCTGGCAGCACTAACCATGGCTGGGCCTCTGGCCTCCAGGCAGGCAGCAGGCCAAAGGGGCGGAGCCAGGCCAGGTGCTGCCCCCAGGGTGGGTGGAGCTCACAGACGCTCCAGCTTTTCTAAGGAAGGGTTGGTTCCTCCTCCCGCAAAGGAATGTTGTGGGACAGGGTGGTGAGACGCTGATGCTTCCAAGGGGTAGATGGACACATGTTGGGAGGGTCACCAATAAAGGCCACGCACACCCCCAAAATCTGCCTCTGCAATGACACCAACAGCCACTAATGGTAGTTATTACAGTGTGCTTACCCTGTGCCAGGCACTAGCCTCAAGTGCCTTTTGTATACTGCACTATGTTAGTGAATCCTCAAACAGACTTATGAATTAGGAATGATTAGAAACCCAGGCAGCCTCACTCAAAGCCGTGTCATGTGTGGGAAACTGGTGTCAGCACAGATATTCTTGACTCTCAAGGGTCAATGTGAAACCTTGCTCTTCAAGGCTCTACACCCATCTGATCCTCAGTTTTCCCCATCTGCAAAATGGGTTCATAAGAGCTGCCTTATCAGACCTTTGGGTTCTCGAGGCTTCCAGGCAGTGGCAGCTGCTTTTCACCTGGGAGGGACTTTGCCATTATCAGGAAAGTTTGTACCCGATTTAGGAGGTTGAAATCTTAAAGTGTCAGATAAGGAAAACAGGGAGAATAAACCTCTCTTCTTTGGTGGCCTTTCTGGTTGTTTCTGTTTGGACCACTCTCTGGCATTTTCCACACCTTGGGCATCCCCAGCTCCCACTTGGAGCCTGAGCAACTTTTTCTCACAAACCCCAAGTGCTGTAGCACCTGCAGGAGGCCTGAGGCCATCTGGACAATTCTCAGGCTACTCCT